TCAGTATGCTTTTCTAAGTCTTATGGCAATTTATCTCCTTGATTGTTTCATCTTAAATAGAAATAAACCTAATAACATGAGATTATTTTTCTTTCATATTACCATTTTTATTTGTGACTTGGGTAGAAATTGCCATCAACCATTTTTAAATAGTTCAGCAGTTTTAAGTGTATTTGTGGGTTTTACATTATTGTTCAGCAGAAGTTTTTCATTTTGCTGAAATGAAATGCTGTACCCATCCAATAACAGCTCTTTATTTCCCTCTCCCTTTAGTTTCTGGAAACCGCCAGTCTCTCTTTTCTATGGATTTAACTACTCTAATAGCTCATGTACTAGAACCATAGAATATTTGTCTCTTTGAGTCTAGTTATTTTCACTGACCATATTTTCTTCAAGACTCACCCATGTTGTAGCATTTGACAGAATGTTCTCCCCTTTTACAATGGAATAATACCCCATTTTATGTCCATGCCATATTTTGTTTATTCATTTGTTATCTATGGGCATTTGGGTTGCTGAGTGCTACTGTGAACAGTGGTGTACAAATACCTTTATCGAGACTCTGCCTTTAATTCTTTCAGATACACTTCGTAAAAGGATTGCTAGAGCATATGGTAGTTCTACCTTTAAATTTTTGAGGGTCCTATCTTTTGTCATTCTATTGGATGTAAAGAAGTTATTATGTTAATAGCCTCTCTCTCTCTCTTTCTCTCTCTTGTTGACTATGCTTTTGGTTACATATGAGAAATCGCTGCCAAAAAATAACATCATGAAGCTCTTTTCTTATGTTTTTTTCCCCAAAGCTTTGTGGTTGAATCTTAAGTTAGATTTTAACATCTGAAATTGATTTTTGTATATCAAGTAAGAAAAGGGTCAAACTTCAATTATTAATTGTGTAGATATCCTGTTTAGCAGCATCATTTGTTCGAGACTCTCCTTTCCCCATTGAATGGTCTTAGCATCCCTGTTAAAGATCATTGGCCTATATATAAGAGGGCTTATTTCTGGGTCTCTGTTACTTTTTTGGTTTGTATACCTCTCTTTATGTTAGTAACACAACTGCATTATTATAGCTTTGATTGTGCTTTGTAATTAGAAAACATGAAATCTCCGACTTTGATTTTCTTTTAGAGAATCTGGCAATTTAGGTTGCTATTTTTTTTGATTCAGTATGAGTTTAAGTGTGTATTTTCCTAATTCTGCAAAAAAATGCCATTGGAATTTTTTTTTTTTTATAATTTATTTATTGAATCACTGTGGGAAAAGTTACAGAGCTTTCGGGTTTAGGTCTCAGTCATGTAGATACCGAACACATTTCCCTTTACCAATACTCATTTTTAACCCCGAACCCCAATAGACCCCCACCTCCCACCCCTCCGAATTCTTGTGAGGCAGATGAGTTCTAGTTAATACTCTATCTACTTTGACTAGATAGATTATTTCGATAGAAGATGCACAATTACTGTTTAGAGTTTACGACCCCCCCCCCCCCCCAATCAGACATGCTGAAACAGTGTTGTGAAATGATTTGCTTTCTACAACTTGGTTTAAGAATAAAATGATGTCCGCGCGGTTTTGAATTTCTGCTATTTTACTTATTGACCCTGGAAGAATTTCTATTAAAAGTTAGCTACTTAAGAGATTGGTTTCTGTGCCCTGGAGTCGTGGCCGTGCCGGAGAGCCGCTCGTGGGGGGCAGCTGGCGACCTCGGTGGGGCGTGGGGGACGGCCCACAAAGCCCCCCTTCCCATGAGGTCCCCACCGCTCCCCCGAGCACGGCTCAAACCTGCTTTCCACAAGGTTCCCGTGCGGCCGCCATCTTTCTTTCCCGCCATTGGAATTTTGGTTGAGATTTTGTTGGATATGTAGTTTGCTTTGAGCAATATTAACATTTTAACAATATTGTCTTCTAATATTTGAAAACAGGGCATTTGTATATTTGCTTATGCCTTTCTTTAGTATTTTGTAATTTTTCAGCTGGTAGGTCTTTAAGTTCCTTGGATGGATTTATTCCTAGTTATTGTCTCTATTTTGAAGGTTCAGTGGAGCCTGGGATCTCACAGGCCACTCCTGGTAATGGGGAGCTGGTGAAGGGGGCTGGACATCAGATCCAGCAAGAGCCCAGCAGTGCTTGAGAGACTAAGATGCTTGGAAGTGAGTGAGGGACCTCCTGCTTACTAAGCATGTGCTCTGCCTCTTTGTGCTATCTCCCTGTTCCCTGTTTAGTGTATTTCTTTGTGCTGTTGTACATGGCATTGTTTTCTTAGCTTTGTTTTTGGGTTGTTCACTGGTAATTCGGTGGTATTCAGGATTACTCCTGGCACCATGCTCACAGGGTCACTAGAGGCAGGGACCATATTGTAGTGCCAGGGATAGAAACTGGTCAGCTACATGCGAGTCAAGTGTCTTTACCCCTGTGCTTCCTCTCTGCCCCCTACAATTGATGTTTAAAAGTTTGTCTTTATTCTTTCTTGATTTATTAATCAAGTAAGTTTTTTTTTGGGGGGGCAGTATATAAAATTTATATAGTTTCAAACATATTTCAGCAAGATCATGTCATCTGTAAAGAGATCATTTTACTCTCTTATTTGGATACCTTTTAGTATCTTTTCTTTTTTTGGAGGGGCAATAATTTGGGCCGCATCTAAGCTATGCGTAGGACTTACTCCTGGTTCTCTACTCAGGGATCATTCTTGACAGTACTCTGGGAACCGTATGCGTGGTGCTGGAGCTGAATCAGGGGCATTCATGTGTAAGGCAAGCATATCAGCCTCTTCGACCCCTTTTACTTTTTTTTGACTTATTCTGACTGGGACTTCTAACAATACTATGTTGGATTAAAGTGGTGAAAGCACAGTAAATGTTTTCAGTCTTTGATCAGTGAGTATGTTACCTGTGTCCTTTTCACATATAGTTTTTATTATAATGAGGTTGTTTTCTTCCACTAAGTTTTTCAGTGATTTTTTATCATGAAAGATGCTGACTCTCGTTGTCTGGTGGAACTTCTACATCAGTTGAAGTGTTTTTGTCTTTGATTCTCTTAGCATGGTTTGCTGTGCTGATTGATCTTCATATGTTGAACCAACCCTTATCCCAGGAATACATTCCAGTCATGGGTATAATAAACCTAAGGTGTTGCTGAATTCAGTCTTTTCTTGATTGCTTTGTTAATTTTTGAGACAAATACCACCATAGGCAATAAACTAACAAAGAGGTAACCGCATGCTTCGCGATAGTGATCAAGCAGCATGAGGGAAAGCAGAATCCTGCGGGAAGCTCAAGAGTCAGGAGGAAGCAGGGGAACTGGGTTGTTGAGAGGTGAAGTTCTGAGAAGTCCTCTCTGGAAACAGCATTTGAGTAGACCCTGGATGAAGGAGAAGTGAGGCAGATAGTATGTACAGAGTGGGGAGAGCACAGGTGGGAATTTGCTCTGAGACCTTGGGAAATAGCTAGGAGACTGAGCCCAGGGTGGGGAGGCTGGTACCCGAGAGGCATGCGAAGCCCCACTCCCCATGCAGCCTTAGCACGGAGAGCCCCTTTTATGGCCTTTATACTTCTCTCTTTCTTTTTATTTCCTTTGCCTTTGCTGTCCTATTTCTAGAAAGAATGTGCTTGCTTTGTTCACCAAAGGACAGGCCTGAGTTCTCTCCCAGATTTCCTCTGAAGAAGGGTGGAATAGAGTGGGCAGAGTGTCAGGTCCTGCCAAGAATTCATTGTGATGTTCAATGTGGTTTGGGGGTGGGGGGCGGGGAATCATTGTTTGAAAAGTAATACATTATATAACTATTTTGTAATTGAAATATGGGCCTGCCATTTTAAATTTAAGTTGCGGGGAACTGACTTCTACATGGTGTTCATAACTGCTTATTTTTTTAAAGCTGACAGCATGGTTTGTAATATATTTTATGTCCTTTAAACATACTGGGATGTTTTGCATTCCCATGAAACAATTTTCCCAAATCTGCCTTTTTGGGGAGGAAGTGTGAATTACTCACTTGCTATTGTGGTATCTGGAAGGTGAAAAACACCCTGTATCTTGCGGATGTTTGTTACAGTCCTTGATAATGTAAGGAATGTTGGTTTAAGTGTGTTCTGCATCATAGGGAATGTTAGGGAATTGTCTTTGTTGTCCCCAAATGGAGTTTTGCTTCATTGTCTAGTGTTTCATGTCAGTTTGTTTCCTTCGGTGTTTAATCGGTTTATTTGTTTCTTTCTTAATTCCCTTATTCTAGATAATTTGATTTTCCACTGATAAAATATTTACTTGTCATATCAGGCTGGGTGCTAAACTTGGGAATTAAGAGGACTAAGTTAAATTTAAAATCTGTTGAGAAGTATTCATCATAATGTAATCTATTTACTGTCTTGGCAGTGCTTCTGGCTCTTCTCATTTAACATGTGAGGAGACAGACTGGCAGCAGCTGTAACATGAAACCTGGTGGGATCGGGAACAACAGACAGGCATGCAGGAAAATGCAGAAAATTAGAAAGTGTTACTGTGTGTGTTCCCTTAAATTCAATTGTGACACAACATTCGCCTAAATAGCATTTTATATTCTGTGTCAAGGTTATTATAACTTCAGGCTAGATGATCCCAAGGAAAAAAAAATTGGCTCTAAATACTGTTTAGTGAAATGACTAAATCTGCCTCTTAATAATATTGTCATGTCCCAGGAGTTGTTTTGCTATAATAAGCATGTTTTACAATCTCTTTGCCCCAGTAGACCTGAAATCTATTACTCAGAGGCCAAGCATGCATTGGCAGTGTATTCTTAGCTGCTCCTCTCTGCCACTCAGCTGTCAAATCCTATGGAATCTAAAATAAAACCTGGCCAATGGGAGACAGGCAGCGCCGTGTTCACTGGACGATTCCGACGTGGACACTCGCTCGGGCACGGCGGCGGAGTTCAGGCAGCAGGATGCAGAGCATTGCTGGAGTTTTCAGTGGGCTCCCTGACAGGCACCGCTTTGAAAGACTCCGCTGAAGAATAAGAACTAGTAGGAGTTACATTACCTGGCTTGTGGCTGCTCCTAATGACGTTGCTGCACTACAAGGAAGATCATTTTCAAGCGTGATGAAGTCAGAGAAGGATCCTGAAGAGGAAGAAAATATCGTTAGCGATCGGAGCCAGGGGTAGCCAGCATGAAGCCTGTAGAGCCGGCAGAGGTGTAGAGGCGACAGTCGCTTGTTAGGAGTTTGTCTGAGGCTCGCTTTGTGAGCTGCAAGAGATTTGTAATCCAATGCGAAGTAGTCTGCTGTTAGCAACCAGAAACTGAAGCCTGTCTATGATGAACTGTTGGTTTTCATGTGCTCCTAAGAACAGAGTAGGTATCCCTGCAGTCCAGGCTAGCAAAAGATTCTTGCTTAGCCTTTCTGAACTCTTGATTTTCTTTTTTTAAAAGGTACCACTGTCTTAACTAACTTTTATTTCAGTCTTAGTCTTTCTGATTCAGTTCATTAGTACATTGGAGTTAGTGACAGAAAACAGAAGTTCTTGTTTCATTTTCTGGGTTTACAGTACGCATCCTGGAATCTTCATAATTGAGCAGTTTGTTTTGTTTTGTTTTGTTTTTTTTTCTGTTAACTGACACTGGACTAAACAGAAAATGGTGCTTGGTGAAATAGGGCTGAAAAAAAATACATGATAATGAAGCATTAATCATCTCCGGTAATCTTTGTGAAAGCATTATTGCTAGATTTTACATTTTTAGTATTTTGAATGGTTCATTTCTCTGCCACCAATTGGTAAGTGAAATTGAGGCTTTTAACTACAATAAACTGATCAGTCTAGAGCAAGGACTTTGTGCTAACCACGACTTAATCCCTTTGGCAATTGGAAACAGTCTCCTCTGCTTACTTCTACGACCACTCCCCAGTCTAGAGGAAGTTTTTGTTTTAAAACGTAGGAAAGGAGATGCCTAACATCTAGTTCTGTTCAGACCTTGAGCCCGTAAGTCAGGCTGCTCCCTAACTTAAAAGGGGCAATTTGAGTTTCTGAAGTTTGAAGTACCCCTCCAAATTTACTGAATTTAGAAATCATTCTAAAGTCTTGTTTTGGTACCTGAGCCAGATTCTGTTGAAAGAGTAAATTTCAGGATTGAGTTAAAATTTTTAATGTAGTTATGTTTTCTTTTTTATTTTTATATTCATTGTTTACTTCAGCTATTCTAGTGAGTCTGTTGCTTTTATTTAGTTAGAAAACTGGGGAAGAGGAATTGAGGGGAAGGTTTCAGAAGGGTTACTAGATACAATATTGATCAAACATTTAGAGGCTATACTTCTTATAAGTATAAATTCCTAGGAGGAATTTGTTGTATTTGTGGGCATAGGATTTGCTTTGTAAATTAAGTGGAAAATAAAAGCTTATTTTGTTGCTCTAGAGATAATAATGGTTGTAGCACAGAATTTTACAATAACTTTAGAATGAAATCTTCTGAAAGGCTAAAACCTTAATGCCTGAATACCTGTTTCCCTTGCTATCTGAAAATAGAACAGTTTCATTTGGTATGATTTGGTAGGTTTTTGGGATCTGGGAATGCAATTAGCCAATCATTTAAATGAAAAAAAAAAATGTAGACTATTCCCAGACCCTCAAAATAACCTTACAATATGTGCCAAATAGGAACATTCTGCTTTTGGATAGTGGTGTAAACCTGTGATATGTATTTTTGTCTTGCATTATGGAGTTTCTGCTTGCTAAGGAAAAGATTCACGTTATTTACTTAAGAATGTCTTGAATACATTTTCTTCAATGAAAGCTAAATATGATCTTAATACAACTAAAACATTATGTGATAAATCTTACCTAAAATGCCTTTTATCCTTTTATATATACAAATATTGAATTTTTATTAAAATAAAAATACTTTTATCAAACATAATATCTGTTGAATGTAAAAGAGGAAGAAGAAAAGTGAAAGTAAGACTATTACTTTTAGGATTTTAAGTATCTAGGATTTTAAGTATATTTTAATATTTTAGAACCCTTTCTAGTTTTTTTCTAAGTGAAACTACATTTCTGTTCTAGTATATAATCACTTGAACTGTTTTCTCTGTTGGGTATATGTGTGTATATAATGTGTCCAACAGTGGATTTTGAAAAACAAATGTATTTCCAACAGTGCCTTTTGAACAAGTGCTGTGGTAGAAAGGAGTGACAATGTGTACCAAATACCATTGCATCCGAGGATCTTGAGATATATGTAGCCAGAACCAAATCTGACATTGTAAGTTAGAGTATAGGAAAAGTAACAGTGATTGTAGAAGTCATAAGTGAGAACTTGTGGCTGGGCATTTAGTGACTTGGATCATTTAATATCTCCAGTGCCTTAACTTTTCTAATCTGTAGAAGCAGAGTGATACTCCTCACCACCACCCCCCCCCCCCCACACACACACACTTCCCCTCCTGCGACCCCAAAAGCCTTGTCAAAGCAATTTGTACCTGGGTAGATGTTCAGTAATTATTTTCCTTTCATTGCTTTGAAGGAGAAAGAAAGAGAGAGTGAAAGAGAGGAGTGAGAAAGAGAGAAAGAAAGAGCAGAGAACACAAGAAACCTTGCTTTTTCTCAAAATACTATTTAGAAATGATGTCTGTGCCAAAGATGTAGTACAGTGGGTGAAGCATGCTTGCTTTTGCTCATAGCTGACCCCAGCCTGAGTTCCTGGTACTGAGTACGATCCTCCCAGGAATGACCCTTGAGCCAGGGGTCACTGTAAGCCCTGAGCATGGCCGGTGAAATGCCCTCCCCCCCAGAGTAATTTCTCTATAGTCTGTGTTCTGGAAAGGGGTCCTAACTCCGTTACTCCTGTGAAGCCAGCACCGTGGGAGGAGGAAGCGCGGGATGCAGCAGGAAATTGAGTGACATGTCCAGAGCACTTGCTGCTTTCCCTTCTGCCTTCTTTCTTTACAAAGTCTTACAAACATAGCCTCGTGGTATGTCATGATTGCCTTTTCTTTTTCCTTTCTCACAGCAGGTAGCAGACTGGAACAAATATGATGACCGATTGATGAAAGCAGCAGAAAGGGGAGATGTAGAAAAAGTTTCCTCAATCCTTGCTAAAAAGGGGGTCAGTCCAAGCAAACTAGATGTGGAAGGCAGATCTGCGTAAGTATTCCTCACGCATGGCGGGTCTCTGCAGGGAATTGGGGCGAACCTTGTCAAACAAATCACATTTGTGAATTGTGCTTATTGACTGCTTAATTAAAAAAAAAATCCTTATCAAAACTCACTGCATGTAGTCTCCCAAATGTCACTATCCAACATTTTGGACTAGCGATTGTTCCATTTGAATTGTTTTCGAATCAGAGTGTAAAAAGTACCCCCCAGCAGTCCCATTGTTAGGCCCTGGAGCAAAAATACAGCCTGGGTCTCTGGGGTGCACATTTGTTTATATGCTCTGTACGGCCCCTTCTGTTTGGTTCCCGCAATCACTCTCAAATGGAAGAAGGAAGTTGACGGAGGTTAATAACTTAGTCTCATCTCTTGAAGAGACACCTGGACACCAGGTGTAATGTGAATCCAAGTCTTTTCTTGGAAGAGTTCTTTCAGTCGTCTTTTCTCTCTGGCCCTCATTCACTTTTGCAGTTGGCGGTTTCTTCAATCTGAGACTGTTTAGAGCTAAAAGGGTGGCAGAATAACTAGTATTGGAATTGGACCAGGTGATCCAATCTTTTAGGGTTTTTTTAAAAAATTTTTTGTGTGTGTGTTTTTTCCTGAGGACTAGCTTGCTTGTTCATATGCAAATGAGCCAGATAGCTTTCACCCACCCTTGCCCTATCTTCATCACTTTCCTTCTTGTTGAAGGTAGGGAGTAGTTGGGTTAAAGGTCCTCTGGGTTCTGGTACTACTCTACAATTAGAGCTATTGAAATCTTCCCTGGGAAACCTTCCAAAGTTAGAGGTGAAAAGTCTCATTTCCTAAAATTCCTCAGTCTTACGCTTGTATGAGTTTACTTAGAATGTTCTAACTGGAAACTAGATACTGATTATAGAAATAAATGTTAGGAAGTGAATATTTAATGCTTTAAGTGGGCCACTCTCTTGGAATATTTAGATATTAAAACATAGTAAAAATAGCAAAAATAGGACTTAAAATGAAGTAGTTTTGAGAGTAATAAAGTTAGAAAGCTCCAACTTTTTAAAATATTACTTTAATGTTATCAAGAAGGCAAATTGATAACCTCAGAAGCTTGGTTTATTTTGAGTCCTAGCCCTATTTTTATTAAATTTAAAGCTGTATTTAGGGTGAATCCAAAAGTAACCTTGTTTTTCCTGTGTCTTCCCCTTCTCCCACAAATGCCAAGACATTGAAAGGTGAGGGGGGTCAAATGATAAAAGGAATCTTTGGGTTGATTATCTTTAGTGAACTATTATTTCTTTGCAGTTTTTTAAAAAAATTTATTTTTTATTCTTTCTATTTTTATAAAGTAGTTCACAATATTTCATTACATTTAATACTCGAACACTAATCCCACCACCAATCCACCTTCCTACCACCATATTTTGGATGTTTCCATCCCGAATCCCCACCCCATCCCCGCAGAACTGAAAATAATTAAAGCAAAACCGAAATAATTCATTTTATATTGTTTGTTATGAATGAACCACTGAAAATGATTCAAAAAATTTCCTTAGAGAAAATTTTTATGTGATGAATGTTGTATTTCACGCGGGGCCATTAAGTCCTTCTATAAGAGATTTAACAACTAAACGTTGTTAAAGATTGAACCTTGTATACTTTTATATAGAACCATTATTTGTTCAGTTCTTCCCAACATGCTTTGAATTTTGAGTCACTTTTTCCCCCAATTAACAGAGTTACAAAAACCGTGTGTAATTTGATGAACTTTGAACTATAGTTTGTCAAACATTTTAGTAGCATTAGTCTGTGAGGTTTTCACCCTAAAAAGTATAATTTTTCTGAGATTCATTGTATAAAGTATTTTGCATCTGCAAACTGTACTCATCCATAAATAAAATATTTTTCATTTAGTCACAAATACATCTTCGGTATTATCTTTAATTACAGAAATGGTTATCTGTATGTCTGTTTCTATTTTTGAAATAAAAGTAAACGTGATAAGTACTTCTTTAAAAAAAATTTTTTTTTATTAGTGAAACACCATGAGGCACAGTTACAACTGTCTACAGACTTACAAACTTTTGTGCTTGGGTTTCAGTTATACAATGATTGAGCACCCATCCCTCCACCAGTGCCCATTTTCCACCACCAATAATCCCAGTAGCCCTCCCACCCCCCCCCACTCCATCCCCCCACCCCGCCCCACCTTTGTGTCAGGGCATTCCCTTTTGCTCTCTCTTTCCTTTAGGGTGTTGTGGTTTGCAATAGAGATATTGAGTGGCCATTGTGTACGGTCTATAGTCTACTTTCAGCACGCATCTCGCATCCCGAGCAAATCCTCCAAACACCCTTTACTTGGTATTCCCTTCTCTATCTGAGCTGCCTTTCCCCCCCAGCATGTGCTGCCAGCTTCCGAGCCGAGCCGTGGAGCAGACCTCCTGGTACTTTTCTGAACTGTTCTTGGGTGTTCATCTCCCATTCTGTTACTTTATATTCCCCAGATGAGTACAATCTTTCTATGTCTATCCCTCTCTTTCTGGCTCATTTCATAAAAGTGATAAGTACTTCTTATCTCAGTCCTGTTTCAAAAATGAATTCTTCAGAGCCTAGCTGTAATTTCTATAAGGATCTGTTTTCACATTCATTGCTTTCCTTGAGTATGGCCCTTTGCTGACAAAAATGGGGTGATTCACAGGGAGACCTGGATGCCTTCCCTCTCAGTTGGTCAGAAGTACTCTTCAGTTCCCAACTGTTTTCTTGGAATCAGATGGTCCAGGCATAAAGTAGCTGGTTAGAGAGGTAGCTCTCTAAGCCTCAGATTCTGGCATCACGGACTTTTCACCATTTGTTAGCTCACTGGTTTCTTCAAGCATATGTCTTATATTTTCTGTAGCTCTTTGACTTGTCCTCAGAGGTAGGGAGTTTCCAGATTACCTAGATCACTGTGATTGAAGCAAACCTTGCATGATTTAAGGCTGACTGTTAAAATTACATGATTGCTTCCATAAAGCCCTTTTCCTTTCTAGCTCTCTGAATACATGACTAATTGGCTTGTCTTCTTTCTGGATCCACCTTACTGCCCTGAGCAAGCAGCATTAGGGAGTGTGGATGTGCTGTGATGTTTGCCCTTAGTGCAGGATCAGTGTGCTATTGATATTTTTTCAAGAACTCTATCAATTTTTCTGAGCCAAGAAATAAAAATAAAGCAAAACAAAAACCAGCAGGTATCTCCAAGATTGTTGGGCGATGAAAAGTCTCTGCTTAAGTAAAGTTGTCATTGCCATGGAGTGTGGCCCATCGCATAGTGTGATTTCCCACTGAAGTGTCAGATATTATTCGATACTCTCAGCCTTATAGTAGTTTAATTCTACTATAAAGAGAACATATCCGTCTTATGACACTATATCCCTTTTATCAGAGCACCTTTTTCTGATTCAAATGATACACAAATCTGTTTTGTCTAACTTGGTGCTTGGTCCTTCTTTTCCTTTATACCTGTCATAGTTCCAATAAAGAGGCATGGCTGAATGTTGTAATGAGAATAAATTTGAAAGTCATTTCCTGATATTGTCTCTAATCATTTATTTATTTATTTTTTCTTTTTGGGTCACACCCGGCGATGCACAGGGGTTACTCCTGGTTCTGCACTCAGGAGTTACTCCTGGCGGTGCTCAGGGGACCTTATGGGATGCTGGGAATCGAACCCGGGTCAGCCGCATGCAAGGCAAATGCCCTACCCTCTGTGCTATCTCTCCTGCCCCCCTAATCATTTATTAAATATTTGTAAGTCATATGGTATAGCAACATTACATATATAAAACAGTAATATTGGTTAAAACAAAGAGATAGTGTAGCAGGCAGGGCACTTGCTTTGCATGTACCTGACCTAGGTTTGATTCCTGCAACCCAGTATGGTTCCCCAGGAGTAACTGAGCACAGAGCCAGGAGTATGCCCTGAGTAGAGCCAGCTGTTGCCCCAAACCCACATAAATAAGTCTATACTTTGTTATTTATTTTAAACAAAAGACAAAGTAAATAATAAACAAGAATAAACTGTTTTTTAAAAATGTGTAGACCTAATGTCTGCTACACTTTTGGTTCTGGGGATATAATAGGAAGGAAGCCAGACCAAAACTTCTGCTTTCTTTGAATTTATAGTTGAGTGGGAAGAGATAGATAAACCACAGTGAAAATTAATCTTGAATTCATATATGATGTAAGAAAATGTGAAGTTCTATGTAGGATAATAAGGGCAAATAATTTAAGACACAGATGGTGGACTTGGGATGTTTTAGGGGATGGGAAAAGGTAGACTGTAAATGATGTGGTCTACAAAGAGTGACCGGTGCTGAGAACGTGGCCCAGAGCATGTATGTACCCGGGCACCTGCTTTGTGCTCACACTTTTCACATTCCCTGGCAGGACTGTTTATTGTGCTAGATTAGGGCTTCAGTTCTTTTTCTTTTTCTTTTTCTTTTTTAAATAATGTGGAGCGATAGCACTATGGTAGGGTGTTTGCCTTTCACGCAGCCAGCCCGGCCAAGCCGGGTTCGATTCTTCCGCCTCTCTCAGAGAGGTTGGCAAGCTACTGAGAGTATTCAATATGCCAAACACAGTAACAAGAAGTCTCACAATGGAGACGTTACTGGGCCTGCTCGAGCAAATCGATGAACAACAGGAGGACAGTGTTTGTTTGTTTGTTTGTTTGTTTTGTAAATAATGTAGGAGTACTGCTATTTATTCAGCCATTGATTAAGATAATTGAATTGGGTCTGAACTCCATATTACTTTTCTTAAAAAATTTTTTTAAATTGGGTATCCATGAGATAGACCATTACAAAACTGTTCATAATTAGGCTTGGGCTTCAGTCATACAATGACCCAGCACCCATCCCTCCACCAGTGTACATCTCCCACCACCAATGTCCCCATTTCCCCACCACCATCCCCCTCCCCCCACTCCCACTTTCCTTCTTGCTCTCTCTATCCTTTTCCTTGAATGAATTATGGTTTGCAGTATAGGTGCTAAGGGGTCATGGTGTTTGTTCAGGGCATTCAGTATTTTTATTGGGACTGTAAGCTGAAGTGGCAGCTTTGGGGTATGAATGCGACTTCCAAGGCTTCTGGAAGTACAAGGAGGTGGAGGGAGGTAGCCCATCCCAACCCTGAGAAAGCCTGGAGATTTCAGTTACAAAACCCACATATCCAAATTTTCAGCAGATTATATCTTGGTGAGGTCCGTCCTGAGATGGTGGAGTCAGGCCGGGGATATGGCAGCGATTTTGTATTGTGAAAGCAAGTGACTGCCATGGACTCTGCTTGGGTGGGCAGAGGCCATCCCAACCCCCTCTGATCTACCCCAGTCTGTTCATCCCTGTGCGGGTCTGAAAGTAACTGTGGCTTTTGATCTCTTTCAAGATTTATCTATGGGTATCTGAAATAAGACCAATAAGTGAACTTGTATAGTTGAGCCAGAGGTGGTTTGTGTGCATGGCTCCCACATATCTATCTTTTGGCCATTTAGTTTCTTGGTAAACTTGATCCTAAATTGTTGGGGTCTAGCCAAAAGCACAGCAGCAAGGAGCAATTTTGGGGTGTCAGGAAGCCTTAAGAAGCCATCAGGCTGCCGATGCACTTGCCCTGCAGGTAGAGGTTGACTGTTGGTGACACCATACCGCCATTCAGCTCTTTTTCAACCCAAGTTCATTTTTCTTTGTCATCAAGTTCTGCTGTAGTTGCCAGTTTGGATTTGGTAGAGTATAATCTATTTCAGATTTTATTGCACACAAAATATTTCTGTGTTGTACATAAGTAATTTGGTGATTAAATATGGGATATCTTATTATCTTTATCTCAAATGCTTGATGGTTTACATTTCTTTATTTGCCTTATTACAAACTTGCCTTATTATACATGTGTCAGGGAGGAAAACTTTTTCCTTCTTCCCTTCTAAGTTGTTGGCTTAACGGTTAAGTTAATGTAAAACAGGTTAGTAGGAATAAATCAAATTTCATACATACCAGAGTATGAAAGAAGGGAGACCCAGAGACAGGCCATTGGAAAAGGAAGAATTGGAATTTAGTGGCTCAAAGGGGCAGGAGAGAGGCAGTTCACAGCATGAGAATAGCAAATGTTTGGTATGTGTGCCGCGCCGTGCAATCACCCGTTATCTTTGGTATTTGCTCTTCCCTGGTGCAGACACCTAATATTTTTTGGGGGGTGGGGGCAGGGGTGGTGAGGGTTTGGCCCCATACCCTGCATAGCTCAGGGACTATTCCTGGCTCTGTACTTTATTAGAAGAATGACCCATGGTGTTGCATGGGGACCATATGTGGTGACGGGGATTCAAACTGAGGTCCCCAGAATGCAAGACACATGCCTTCCCCCCTGTACTCTGTCTGGTACAGGCACATACCTCATTCTTCTAGGCAATATTGAGGAGAGGTAAACAATCCTTCCTGAATCTGTTGTACCTTGACTATCTTTAGCTAGAAATAATGCACATGCCGTAGTGGCATATTTGGGGGTCACATGTTCAGCTCCCATTCAACTGTCTGTGTGACCTTAGCTTGTCTTGTTCATCCATTAGTAAAAATAAGAATTAGTTTATAGTTGAATTGATTAACTGGGAAGAAGTTGACTACAGTTATTTTATTGAGGAGGGCGGTTCAAGAGTAGCTAAGTTTTTTTCAAGAGCCTTTAAATGCCAGGTTTAATTTGTTGATTTCAAGAGGAGATGGGTAAGTATTTTGGTATGATTTTGACTTTTATCATTCTCCTGTAACTTGCTTTTGTTAGTATGTGGAAATTTTAGTTTATTTGAAACTAAGCCAAATAATCTGATGGAAAAATTGCAGTGCATTTATTAAGTTTCAAGTACCAGTGCCTATGCTATTGATATAATAGAATTAGTGATAATAGTTTTAAAATTTATTATTAATGGGGCTTATTAAATTATTATTAAGACTTTTATTTTGCTTTTTGGGTCACACCTGGTGATGCACAGGGGTTACTCCTGGCTCTGCACTCAGGAGTTACTCCTGGTGGTGCTCAGGGGAGACCATATGGGATGCTGGGAATCGAACCTGGGTCAGCCGTGTGCAAGGCAAACGCCCTACCTGCTGTGCTATTTCTCCAGCCCCTATGAGGACTTTTGAACATAGTAATATTCTTTTGGTCCCAAGGAGTTATTTTCAGAAAGCATTGACTTTATATAAAATTGGATCAAATGAATTTTTCAGTAATACAAACTATATGTGATGTATCATTTGATCTGCTAGATATATATGTGGGTAGACATGTGTATGTGTGTTTCTCTTTTTTTTCTCATATCAAAGATATAAATAGGTTAGAGAGAGAGAGAGAGAGAGAGTGTTTTGAATAAATGTTCAGTTGTCCTTTGTTAGTTTCCGTGGCATAACAAATACTTTCTTTTTATTTAGCTTCCATGTTGTGGCCTCAAAGGGGAATCTCGAGTGTCTGAATGCCATTCTCATACATGGAGTTGATATTACAAGCAGTGACACTGCAGGTATGTTTGCAGACATCGTCACTTATAAAGTGGTAGGGGATACACGCCTCATCAATTTATTTATTCACCCGAGAACAAGAGAATGTACAGAATATAATTGCTGCTTTCTGGCAGAAAGTGCTTCTTGTGAAGTCAAATCATGGTTTAAGTTTTTGAGTTAGAGCACTAAAGATTAGAGGCTGTGATAGTCTGATAAAACTCATATGTTTCACCATCCAAGAGAGAAATACATATAATGAGTACAAGTCAGAAAAAAAAGAATTTGATTAAAAAAAGAGTATTCTCTGCCAATCCTCCTTCACTACAGAGTTAGTCTTTCGGGAATCTCTTTCCTGCCCTCTTGCACCCCCCAGCCCATTTTGTTGTTTCCCTTTAAACAAAATTTCAATGCCATGTTCAAGTCTTATTTGTAGATACACAGTCTCTTAGAGGACTTCGAATTTTAGTTGAAATATAAAAATTAGAGAATTACCCTTTTTATGAATTCGTCTCTGTCTCCATGTTCACAACTGTGCTTCCAGTGTGGAGATAGAGTGTGAAATCGAAGCATCGCCCCTCTTTGTCTTTCTCTTCCTGCACCCTTTACATGCCAATATTGAATTTAATTAGTCTCTCAGGTATGGCTTCCAGTGTTTAATTTTTCTTCCAACTTTATTGTTTTGGTGTGCTTGTTATTTGTTATGAAAATAATCAAACTGGGTTAAATTCCTTAGGCACTGAAAAGATGCTTGTAACTTAAATATCTTGTCAACTAATGTTTGGAAAAAGTAAATCATGTCTTTTTGGGAAATTATCTATATTTTCCATGATTTCTATTTTAGGGAGAAATGCTCTTCACCTGGCTGCAAAGTATGGACATGCATTGTGTCTGCAAAAACTTCTACAGGTAATAAATAGTGATTAATACTGAAACTTTATTATTATTTGGTTTTTGGCAATACCTGGTGATGCTCAGGGGTTTACTCCTGGTTCTGCACTCAGAAATCACTCTGGGCAGGGCTTGGGGGACCAGATGGGGTGTTGGGGATCAAACCCAGGTAGGCCACACATAAGGCAGGTGACCTACCCGCTATACTATCTCTCCAGCCCTTAAAACTTTATTATTTTGACTTCAAATAATTATGTTTTGAATGTGTTACTGGCATCTGAGATCAAAGAAAATAGTAGTCTGATTTTTTCCGGCTTTCATAATAGTTTTTCCATCATTTATGAAAGAATGTGAACAATAAAGCACAAAAACACTGAGGGAAGTGAATTGCATAACTCCAGTGTATTAAAAATAAATAACAAAGGCTTGACCTTCCTGTTGACATTAGCTGGGGATTGGAATTTTCTGTTGTCTCATATATAACATAAGATAAAATGACACCGCCTAGCATCTTTCTTCCTAGATAAACATTTAATAACTTAGATTACCACCACGTAGTTTTAATCAGGCAGACACAGCATTCTATGAGTGTGTGGGCTGTGTTATGGTTTCAGCTCAAGAATCCAGTCATATATTTTCATAAACATTTTGCCACTGGTTTTCACAGTAGAACACACTTGTTTTTCTGAATCAGTTCAAGTTTTTATTCTTGCTGAAACACTACCCAGATAATAACATAGTTTCTATATCCCCATGCCATTGTCATGTGCCTTATGTTTTTCTGTTTTGGCGAAATACTGTTAAATTTTGCAGTATAATGTTATTATATTTGTTCCACGTCAAAATATTTAATGACTTGTCATCTTTAGCTTTTGGATAAATGGAATAGTTTAAGCTTGAATAACAGATGTTCATTTGAGCATTGATACGTATTTTAAGCAAAACTCCTAAATGATGAAGTTTCTGTGTTTGAACAGTACAATTGCCCCACGGAGCACGTCGACCTCCAGGGGAGAACTGCACTCCATGACGCAGGTGAGCGAGGGCTTCATTTGGACATAGACAGCTACCTGCTAACATGGCTAAGCTTTCCCTTATGCTCAGTGTGTCAGTGTGGATATACTTGTGTAATTCATAGAGAAACAAAATATTAAGAATATCGTATTCATGTGAATTTGAAATACATTAGGGTCTAGGCTTAGAAGAGATTCATTCAGCCAGTAGTTATAGGCTAGTATACTAGATCATAAAAGTCCAAAGTTGATGAATTAGTCAAAAGTGACTTTCAAGTGTTATAGGAAATGTACAATGGTCAAAAGGCCAACCCAGAAAGAAGATAAAATGGTTATTAATATACATGCACCAGAGGTGGAGAGATAGCACAGTGTGTGAAGCATTTACCCACATGCAACTGACCTGGGTTTGATTCCTAGCACTATATATGATCTTTCAGTCACCACTCTCAGGAGTAATCCCTGAGCACAGAGACAGGAGCAAGTCTTGGGTATAGCCAGGTGCGACCCAACCAACCAACAAAACAAAAATATGTACATGCACAAATATAGGTCTAATTAACAATTATTATTGGGCCTAAGGGGAATATGTTAACAACAATATAATATTTGTAGGGAATCTCAACACGCCTCTGACGGTAATACAGATCTATTAGATAAAATAAATTAACTAGGAAATCACTTGACCACTTTATTGCTTGACATCCCGTTACTCATCCCGTTACTGGCTCGAGCGTGTGCCAGTAACATTGCCATTCATCCCTGTCGTGTACTAGTGTAGTCCAGTGGCGTCTGTTCATACTAGGAACACAAAGAGCCTCAAATCGATCATTCAGGGTCTTGAAGAAGAAGTCTGACCATCTCACAGATGGGCAGTCACATGATCTTTTGATGTCCCGTGGAATCTAGCTGGTAATGGCTCTAGTCCAGCAATCATCTCCAAATCGCATTATTTGTCCAGCCCATCTGATTTTCGATGCCTTAGCAAACAAGACAACATCCTGGATTCTTGATTGTCGACAGAGTTTGGAACTCTGGATTCTTTCTCTCACTTGAGTGAAGTGTGATACTCCAAGCATAGCTCTTTCAGTTCCTCTTTGGGAGACCCGAATAGTGTTCTCATCCTGTTTTCGTAGGGCCCAGGTCTCTGAGGCATATGTTAATGCAGGAATAACAGGGGATTCGAAGAGATCTGCGCAGAGCCAGAGGTTCTTTGTCCCTTCGTTATTTCTTTGACGCTCTTGAAGGCGTTCCAAGCCGCTCTCTTCCTCCTGCACAACTCAGGTGACAGGTCATTCATTATGTTGACTTCTTGACCTAGGTACACATAACTGTTGCATTCAGAGATGTTCGTTCTGTTGAGAGCAAATGGAATGTCAGGAATAAGACCCTTTCTCATAAACATTGTCTTCATGAGAGTCAGCTGTATTCCGACCTTTCCACACTCACGGTCGAAGTTGGCCAGCATTTGTGCCACATGTCTAATGTTTGGTATTATTAGAACAATGTCATCAGCGAAGCGGAGGTGGTGTGGTTGCCGACCGTCTATCTTCACTCCCATTCCTTCCCATTCCAGTCGTCTCATAACGTTCTCAAGGGGTTCAAATATGGTTTGAACCATGGGAAACCTGCAAATGCGATTAGAGGCAGCCCTAAAAGTCTCTATCCCTTTCAGAAAGCCTGGCAACCTACTGAGGATATCCCGCCCACATGGCAGAGCCTGGCAAGCTATCTGTGGCATATTCAATATGCCAAAACCAGTAAATCAATGGGTTTCATTCCCCTGACTCTAAAAGAGCCACTGATACGGCAACATTAAAAAGGATAAGGAAGGAGAGACTGATAAAATCTCAAGGCTGAACTAGGCTGCCAAAATGGAAAAAGATGACGGTTTGTACTTTCAATTGGATGCAGCCATTGAGGACCTGATGGTGCAAGCGTGAAAAGATCAAATACGACGACATCGTTCTAACCGAGATGAGAAGGCATTAATAATATCACGCCGTTTTCGACACTGGAGAAGAACTGATCCTCAGAACATGCGACAAAAGAGGTTTTGGTGATGTCAGTGTCCTTGTCAATACGAAACTTGGCCATGAGCATTGATTCATTCGAATGCCTAACAACCCGAATTGGACAACTTGAATAGATGTGGCTCACTGCCGGCAGTTTCTATCTTCGTTGTCTACACACCAACATCCAATTTATGATGAAGGAGAAATTGAGAAGTTCTACATGGAGCTGGAGAAGTTCTATAAAGAAGACCACTCCTTCTATAAGATCATTGTTGGTGATTTTAATGCCAAGATAGGACCGAGAAGAGCAGCTGAAGAACTCCACATTGGGACCCATGGCCTACCCAGAAGGCCAAATCTAAACACTGGACATGGGAGTCTCCCAGTGGACGGTTCTGCAACGAAATTGATCACATCATATTCAATCGACAGTTTTGCCTGACTGATGTCGCTGTTGTCCCAAAGTTCCAAATGGGATTGGACCACCGTCTCCTTTGTGCATAATTCTACTTCATGGAGCAGGGAGAAAGGGCTGCAAAGTTTAAGAAGAGAACTCCCAGAATGACTACCAACTGGGAGCTCTTTGGCACTATTGCAACAACATAAGAAGATGCCATCATTGACAACATTGATAAAGAATATGATAGACTTGTTTAGCACCTCCATGATTGTGCAAGGAATGACGAGAGAGGTAGCCACAAAAAGACACCTGTTTTTGAAAACTCTTGAGCTCATTTGCCAACGTGGCTTGGCACAAGCCTCATGCAACCACAAGCAAATGTCTGAGCAGTGATAAAGGAAGACCTCAAAGAGAGAAGGGCAGCAGTGCTGGCAGCTGCGGCAGAAGCCAGGAAAAGCATTTGCAATGCCTGCCTGTCCTTCACCAACTACAAGACCAAGATGACTGCCCTCCAACGTCCCGATGGATCTATAACATCTTCCAGAAGGGCAATGGAGAAGATTATCCACGACTTCTACTCAGATCTCTTTAATAGCCACGTCCACCTCCCCACATACCAAATTCTGCAGGATGGATATGTCATTCCCAACATTCTCCCTTCCGAAATCCGACACACCATTTTTTCGATAAAGAAGTGAATAGCACCTGGCCCAGACAAGGTCAGACCTGAACACCTCAAGAACCTGCCATCAGTACTCATCAATACACTGGCTCGGCTCTTCACATGCTACCTGTCTGAATGCAAGGTTCCATCCCAATGGAAAACCAACAGGACTTACTACTGTACAAGAAGGAAGACATCCACAACCTTGGCAACTATCGCCTGATCTGCCTGTTGTCTGTTGTCTACAAGCTGTTCACTTGAGTCATCCTGAATAGGATTGGCAGAACACTAGATGAAGGACAACCATGCGAGCAAGCCGGGTTCCGAAAAGGATTCAGTACAATTGACCATATCCACACAGTAGCCAATCTCATTGAGGTTTCTCAGGTGTTCAAGATGCCGCTCTGTCTAACGTTCATTGATTTAAAGAAGGCCTTTGTTTCTGTGAGACTGAAGTGGTCATCGAAGCCCTAGCCAAACAGGTGTTCAGACTCAATTCATCAGGATCCTCCGTGAGCTGTATTATGGATTCACTACCAGGATCTCACCATTCTACAAGGAAGTGATCATCCATGTCAAGAGAGGGAGGGGTTCAGCAGAGTGATACCATTTCATTTCATTTCATTTCATCATCCTGTTAATCGTCGATTGCCTCGAGCAGGCCCCAGTAACGTCTCTTTCATCCTAGCCGTGAGATTATATTCACGGCTCTTTAGGAGAATGAGACCCATCATTGTTACTGGTATTTGGCATATTTGGTACGCCACGGGGAGTTTGCCAGACTCTGCCCTGTGGGCAGGCTACATTCGATAGCCTGCAAGTTTGTCCAAAGTAGGAATGAGATAATAAGATGTCGCGCGGCCGCGAATGCGGCCGCGCGGTTCCGGGATCTGGATTTTATAGTCTCTGAGTCTTGGCCGCTGATGGGATTACACGGCGCCAGGGGGCCAGGTGGTGGGTGTGACCCCCGCCTACTGGAATTTGGAGGATCTGGGTGGAAGATGCTCGACTCCAATTCGAGTAGGCATGGAGGTCTCGGCCCCGGAACCCGCGTGGCTGTGTCCCTCTGCCAGTACCTTCATGGGTGCGGAGAGTGGTCTCAGCATGGTGGTGGCTGGTCCTGGAGGTCTTCGGCTGCCGTAGCCCTGGTCGGGGCGGGGAGGAAAGCTCAACCCGCTCCCCTCCAAGGGACTCCGGGAAGGAACACCCAGGCGCGGGGGCAGAGACTGCACTGCTCTCGTCCGGGATCTGGATTTTATAGTCTCTGTAATTTTATAGTCTCCGTGTAATCCCATCAGCGGCCAAGACTCAGAGACTATAAAATCCAGAGTGATACCATTTCACCGAAACTCTTCAGTGCCACCCAACCAGGAAATAATACCCTTAAATTAAGTAAAGAATCAGGTGAATTTAATAGATAAGCACAAAAATTTCTATCACCACCAAAGTGAACGTACAATTTTTTTCTCAAATGCTCATAGGACAGTCTCAAAGACAGATTGTATCTTGTGACATAAAAGAAGTCTCAATCAATGGATATTGAAATGATGCAATAATTATACCAAGTGTCATTTCTAATTACAGTAGTGTGACTCTAGAAATGTTATAAAAAAGAAAGCTGGAAAATACTACATAGCTCAAGACTAAGCCACATATTTCTGAGTAACTTTTGGGTCAAGAAAAAGAAATAAAAAATCACCTGGAGACCGTAAAATGAAGACATGAACTCTCAGATCCTATGGAATGCTTCTCAGAATCTAGACCACTTCAGAAGAAGTCACAAATAAACAATGTAATCTTCCACAAAAGGAACTAGAAAAAAACAACAAATGGAACAGCAGAAGGAGGGAAATAAAAATTAAAACAGAAATAAATGAAGTGAAAAGGATAATACAAGAGAACAATGAAACAAAAAGCTATTCTTTTGTAAAAATGAATAAAAT